AAAGCTTTGTAAATAAGGAGGAAAAGAAGGGTTGAAGGGAGGGTAAAGGAATGGGAAAAAATAAGAATCAAGATATATCATGCATAGGCACAAATTCCCAATGATGAATGTGATCATTAGTATATCTAAAATGTACCAATAAAATTAATTAATTTTAAGAAAGTGGTTCAACAGTGATTGTCAGTCTCTGCTTTAAGTAAGGCATATTTCATTATTAGCCTAGAGTACCTGACGTAACTTCCACTTCTGAGTCAGTTTTACTTCCATAATAAAGCATTCAGAGTAAGTCTAAAACACCTTCCCAGTGATATTAAGCATGTAAGGATAGCTATTTTATCTCAAATCATTTCATCTGAAGATGAAAATTTCTCCATTTTTCAGATCTGTGGCAGTTTTTAGCATCCTGGTAAATTTCAGTCAAAATTAATTTCTTTACTGTGCCATAGAGGCAAGAAGTAAAAACAATTTTAAATGTCATTTTTTCAGTTTAATTATTCTTCTCTTGGTCTGTAATAGTAACCTTCTAGAAACAGGGCCTCAGATTTCCTAAAAATCTTAGTACATAACAAAGCAGAGACTAGAAAAGCACATCTAGTCTTATTCTTTCTGCCTCTATGGAACTATAAAATTAGTGAGAATTACTCCTCAGGTGGGAAATAGCAATAACTCAAGATACTTTGGCTTGTTCTGATCTAAGCCATGCTGCCAGGTTCCACCCTGATTAAGAGGGGATATCTTCCCTCCAAAGTTATAATCAATTTACCTGAGTGTTGGTAGCGTAGTCCATCTGCAGGATATCATATTTTCCAGGGACCTTTACAAACTTCTCACGATCCTCCCAATTATTTTTTGTCTTGTCAAGGAATCTACAGAGCCCAAGGTAGTGAGAAAACCTTACAAATAAAGGTCTACTACTAGAAATGGCCTTAAAACTGTTTCTTTGGACAGAAAATCTCCAAAAATTTATTTTCCCTCAGAATTCCTTTACACATCAACTTTTCACAAACCTGAATTCTAAATTACGACACTGAATGAACAGAAAAAACTCTGGACCAAAGGAATTTTTAAAAAGTTGGGGAGAGGGGAGTCCAGGCTTTGCAAAGGTCCCCAAATATCATGAAAGCATTAAGATTAAAAACAAAAAATATGGGGCTGAGGATGTAGCTTAGTGGTAGAGGATTTGCCTAGCATCAATGAGGTCTTGGATTCAAGCCCCAGTACAGCAAAAATTTTTTGCTAAGATAAAAAGTATCTATCCAATTCTGAACAGAAATATGTTCTCAGAGACCTCAGAAAGTTATTCAACTACATTATAGTAAAATTTTTTAGAACTTTAGGTGGGATAGTCTTTGCTTTTCTCAAATTCCCTAAATTTGTTTTGTGTTAAATAAATTAGAATTCTTCTAGTTTTAGTCAATTTCAAAGTGCTAGGGTGTTTTTTGGTACCGGGGATCAAACTCAGGACCTGTACTTTCGAGGCAGGTGGCAAAACCACTGAGCTAAACTGCCGGCCCTCAAAGTGGTAGGTTTACTTAATCACTAACTAAAGATGAAATTTGATTCTACTCACAGACTGTCAGAATGAAAAGAAATTCACATTTAGGCCAAATCACACTTAAAACTTTCTTAAGAGTAAAGATCCAAGAAGAAGGGAATTTTTTTGTACTCATTTTTAACACTCACTTCTTTTGAAAGATTTCCTTGGCCTTGGTGAGGTCAGCTGAACAAGTCACCAAGCTGTGCTGGCCCATTTTCCCAACTGCAAAGTAAATGCCACACATAAGAGGTTCCCTGTCCTGCACCCCAAGAACAGTTCCCTAATAGTAATGAGTCAGCTCCTTAAGGTCCCTCTGCTTACCATCTGACAAATGGGCACAGAAAGGACAAGGGAAAGGTGAAAGGGCTCAGGGAACTGATCCTATTGATGGAAGTTACCTGGTAAATGGCATAGCCTATGAGCAGTACTGGCAGTCCAACTGCAGGAGTTCTCAGGTTGAAATTGGCTGCTCTTTGTCTGGCCAATGGGAGCTTCCTGATGAGGGTGCCTGCCATTCTTCCAACTTGAAGCCTAACTTGATTTCTAAGGCTTTCCCAGACACAATCTCTACTCACCCAATTTAAACTCAGCCACTTACTCTGGATTTTTGAATGACAGCTCATACAATGCATAATGAAAGTCATTACCTCGACCCCATCTCATCCAAACACTGAAGTTTCTCCGGGCATCATCTTCTAACAGCTGAATAAGGTAGTACTTGTTGTTGTTGAACTGGAGATTGGTCTGTAACGAGAACATAAAAGGAGATAGTTTTTTTTTTTAAGGAGATGGTATTGCAAATGGAAGTTACATAAACCAGTGACTCATCCTTAGTCACAGGGACCAGTAATTTTTATAAAGGAAAAGACAGCATAGGGAAAAAACATAAAATAAGGTATTAAACTAGGAGCCTGGGGCCAGGGAGTTAGTGCAGTAGCACCGCACCTGCCCCGCGAGTGCAAGATCCTGAGTTTGATCCCTGGTACCGAAAAATAAAATAATTTAAAATGCAACCTTAATATCCTCAATATTCCTGTTCAGTTCCCTCCATGGTTTCTAGGTTATCTGTGTTTTCTAACTCCTAATTCATTTCCAATAATTGTTCCTCAAATGAGATGAGAACAATTCTGATGCCCCACAGATCTATACCTATTATGGCTTGTTTGATTAGATGACTTCTTAGTCTGACTGTTCTACTTAGACCCTTTTTGTGTGTCAGCTTCAGAAATATGACAATGAGCTGAGAGCAGGACAGTGTTGAGAAAAGACAAAGGATATGAAGAAACCACTGGCACATCTGCCCCGCCCCTGACCAGATCTGACTTGGGGACACTCATTCAAAATGCAACTGTACCTAAAAAGACAAATCTAAGTACCTCAGTCAGAGTGGAGAGACAGTGGTCCACGTGGGAAAGCACAGAAGTCAGTGCTGTAAGGCTGAGCCCTTGTTATCAAGGCACTGCCCCTTCCTACCTCCATATTACACAGTCATCAGATGTTAGAACAGAAGAGGGGTTTAAGAAATTTTCTGTCTCAAAATGTTTTAAGTGGAAGTAGTGGTAACAAAGGAATACTTGTTTGTTGTTAAAATTACCTATGTTGGATCAATAAATTCAAATATGAAGTGATAGCCAGGAAATATGTTAACTAAGCAAATGTATTACCTATTCAAAAGCACAAAAATAAGAGAAAAAAGAATTTGGGGGGGGGGGAATACTGCGGATCAAACCCAGGACCTTGTGCTTACGACACAGGTGTGGCACCACTGAGCTAAATCCTGGCCCTAATGAGAAAACCTTTTAAAAGAAAAAAATTAATAAACTTAACTACAAAAAAAATTTAACTACATACAAATTTAAAACTTTAATATAGGTGAAAAGTATACTTTAAGGAAAATCAAAAGGTAAATGATAAATCTAGAAAACATATAAACACTTTCTATTACAAACAAAAAGCGATTCTTCCTGTTACATAGTCACTTGAAGCTAGTATAACAAAGACCAACAACCTGTCAGAAAATGTGCAAAAGGACACGAACACAGAGTTTACGGGTTCAAGGAAAGACATAAGTGTGCGAAAAGACCCGCTTTTCACAGAGGGCTTCACTGTTAGATAGTGTGCTAGGGCTGAATACTCAGAAGAGTAATGGGCAGAGGCTAATACAGTATGAGGGACTTGAGAGCTAATGACCTGAGAACTGGGATGCCCTATCGTCAACAATGATCAAGAAGAAAGTGCCATGAATACAATGGCTCTTCCTCTTACTTGATTTAGCATGACATCGTAGACATCATCTCCTTCGCAATACACATGAGCCTGGAGAAAGAAAGAAGAAAACAACATCAGTATCCTTTCAGTCCTGAGATCCAAAGTGAGGCTCTAAATCTTCGTACGGCTCAAGGTTCTTTCTCCAGCACCATCATCTACCTTCCAGGGAAAGAAATGGAAATGTGCATTCTACACACAGTCTGTTATTACCATGAAAACACGCTCCCTTTTTCTAACTACAGAAACAAAACATTCTAACTCAAAAGAAACTTGCTCAAAAGAAAAAGCAGCTTTTCTACTGTATACTTCAAATCCTTTAACCCCTCCTCAGTAACTCGCGGCATTACAAGGCAGTCTCATTAGAACAAGAAGACAATTCTCCCTAATAACATAATTTTCTGGCTGAAAAAGAGAACGAGGTGTAGAAGCCTGATGACAACTACAAAAAGAAACCTTATTAACCCCGATATTAACCTGAAACCCCACCTACTATCACCTCTCACTCTTGGACAAAATTAATCGCTAGTGAAATTTTAGAGAATTTCTGAAAATGTGTTCTAGCAACATCTCAGAGAAGAATACTGTTCTCAGGGAAATCAATGCACTGAGAATAGGTCTGAGTCTCTCACCTTTCCCACCTTGGCTGTACACTCTGGGTCCACAGGAGCTTTGCCCTTTAACAGCAATGACTTCACTGGTTCTGAGAAAAGATTAATATATAGCACAATTACTTATATGGCAATCAAAAGTAGCTGTCAGTGTCAGAAACCTGCCACAGTGAACGCTACTGTTCCTAAGCAATCCTGGTTATCTGCATACGCCTCAATCCATCCCAAATACATGAAAATGATGATTCGACAAAGTAGATTAGTACTGTGGTAAACACAAAGCATAGAAAATTACTTAATTATATATATTCAAGGAAGGAAGAAATAAGAGCTGAAAGAATAAGATATCACTACCACCCTTCCCAAGACCCTTTGCTGGCCAATGTCCTCTCTGGCTTACAACCTTGTGTGTCTTCTGTCCTGCCCTTATCAGCCTTTCCTCCAGCCACAGGCTCCTTTTTCACTCTCTGTCTCTGGCATTTTCGAGTTTTCTTGGCAGGAGGTGAGTCTTCTGTAGCTGGAGTGCCATTATTATCTCTCTTGGTTTCATTTAATACTGTAGAAGCTAAGAGCAAGAACAATGAGCAGATAAAGAAGATGAGTCCAGAGTAAATATGATCTTTCATTGCAAAAAAACTGCGGGGGGGCGGTCAGGCATGCTAGGCAAATGGTGTATCACTGAGCTGTATCTCTAGCCACCTTCCCCACTTTTTAAATTTGAGACAAAGTCTTGCTAAAATGCCTAAGCTGGCCATGAACTTGTGATCCTCCTGCCTCACCATTCTAAGTAGCTGGGATTAGCCGGCAAATATAAGAATATGTGTGTGTGTGCGCGCGCGCGCGCGTGTGTGTTTTGCTCACTTCTGAACTCAGGACCCTGCATGTTAGGCAAGTGCTACATGACTGACCTACATTCCCCACTTAGGATGAGCTTTCAAAGAAATAATTTAGTAAGATGGCTTTGTAAGTTTACAATGAAACAATACCAACTGCCACCCCACTAGTCTTGAGAACTGGTCTGAGTAATCCTTCCTAAAGTGCTACTCAAGCCAAAGAAAATAAAGTGGACTCACAGGACTTTTGCATATTCACAGACTGAGGCATGAGCTTTGCAGCCTATGTCCCTTCTGTTTCTTTGGTTTACTTAGGCTTCCCTGCTATACCTACCTCGATCTGCTTGAGGTGGTATGAAATAATGGCTAGCAGAGGTCGCTAGGGTCTACACCTAGCTTAGAACTACACAAACTGAGGAGTTAAGTACTCTCCTTGTACCTCAAAGGCCCCAACAAAATCCAGAGAACAGTAATATCTAATTTATAGGGTGGAGCTTTACATTAAGGGTACCAGGCAGGGCCTATACACAGGGTAGTGGATCTCAACAATTCTACGATTTGATTTTCACTCTGAAATTGAGATGACATATAAGTAGTGAATCATGTTTAATTGGAAGTATTTATCCTTTCTTAGTGGTATATAAAATAATACGCTTGTTCGATCACCGGTACCAAAAAACCCCCATAAAATAATAAGTTTTAAAATTGATTTTTTTAACTGAGTAGTATTCAGCATTAACGACAGTATTGACACTACGTTAGCTTTTACAGTTCCACAAGCCTTTTTGAATTTAAGTACAGTAATATGAAAAACGAAATTCGAAAAGCTTAAGGACAAAACTAGTTTGGGATACAAGAGCAAGGCACGGGGAGGTGGAAGGGGGAGGCGCTGGGAGGGGGCGCTGTTCCTTTTCCCACAGTCGAACCCCAGCCTTCCGCCCCCGAGAACGCGCTGCGAACCCAGCTTCCCGCGGCCGCTCCTGGCACGCCGTCTCGCCGCCATGGAGTTCAAACGCTGATGTCATCAACTCGCTCCAGGAATCGCGGGCTCAGTCACAGGCGGGGAACCCATAGTACGCTAGTACGCGTGCGCCTTAGCAAGGAGCCGACTGGGCCAGAATTGGGAGGTGCTTCTCACCATATCTACATATCGCTATGTCTTCTGGGAAGTGACCATGACCATAAGATATGCTGAGCTGTGGGAACCTTATAATTTCTGCTTCAACAACTTTCTCTTATGGGGCGGAGGGAAGCTCATCAGTGGGGCTACGTGCTGAGTGCATCCAGTCACTCTTCCACCGCCCTTGGGAAGGTCTGAGACTGGGGCCAATAGCGGCCCTAACAGGGCCCTCCCTGAGCTCCGGGGAGGTGAGTTCCCAGAGAGCGGGGCTCCGCGCGAGGGCAGACTGGGCAGGAGATGCCGGGAACCCGCCCTCGGGCAGGACCCGGCGGATGCCTCCTTAGCCGGAGCTTGGAACAGACTCACGGCCGGCCAAGTGAGTTCAATGGCTGAGGTGAGGCACCGCGCCCGCCGGGCCTCATAACCCAATTCAGACTACTCTCCCCCGCCTCCTTTTAGACGAAAACGATGTGGGACGTGGTAATGAGATGGTGGTTCTCTTCGGAGCAAGAAGAGGGCAAGAAAAATAGTGTACGAGAATCCTAATAGATCTTTTGCACATGGGAAGGGGAGCGAGAGATGAAGCAGGGGACGTGGACGAGAAGTAAAAAGAATTTTTAAGACATGTTATATAGCTGCGATCCCAGGGCTCTGCGCCTTCCCCGCCCAGGCGCGGGATGCCCAGGCCGCTGCAAGGGGCGAGGAAAAGTCGAGGTTGAATCCCCGCTGCGCCGGGGTCGCTGTCCCTGAAGAGATGAGTGGTGGCTTGGCTTCAATTAAGAGCACAGTGCATGTGTCCAACTTGCCCTTCTCTCTGACAAACAACGACTTATATTGGATATTTCCAATATAAAATATTTAAAAATATTTTTAAACTCTGGTTGAGCTTGTATAAATATTACCATGGTTTTATCTAATGACCCATGACAGTGGTTAGCCACCAAGGTATCTGAAAACAGCCAGAAGAGGTCAGCAATTGGAGCCTCTTTTTTAAATCTAGCTTTATTACTATGGTCTTGATTTTACGTATTTTTTAGTTATACTTTTCTGTTGTGGCGGTGTTTTTTTTTTTTTTTTTGGTACTAGGGATAGAACTTGCCAGGCAGGTGCAATGCCACTGAGCTAAATCCCAAGCCCTAGTTATACTTTTCTACTGAGTGTTCAAGACCAAGTTACAGTGGGAGTGTTATACTTAATCACAAGAGATTATAGAGAATCATCACAATCTGAACCAAATTTTGAGTCTTTATTGTTAGCCGTGTTCCAGAGCAAGCTCACGCTCCGAAAACTCTCTACCAGGAAAAGCAGCTTGCAGGTTTTAAGCAGCTCTTTCAGTTGGGGAGGGCTCAGGGAGAAGGGGAGCACAGGCAGAATTTTACAGAAGAACTTTGCTAAGTTAGTGGGGGTGGGTGCCAGGGGAAATTCCACACAGTTTAGTTGAAACAAAATGCACACAGGTGTGGAGTATCCTGTTTACAAGGTTGTAAAGATAACATATAGTTGCAGACTTCCCTACCAAATGGAAAGGTGCAAAGATAACATAGTTGCAGCCTTCAGGAAGCAGCAGTGTGCCATGCATTAACTGAGGGGACTCCCAAGGGGGGAAGGGGGAGGCGACCACCTGGAATGGCTTGACTTTATACAAATGGAATCAGGTTGGCTATCACAAGAGCTATATTAAATAAAATTAACCTCTTGTTATCTATCAAGGTCAATTAAGTCTTCCCAGGCATTATCTTGGAACCATGCATAGAGCCTCTCAGCTCCTGTCAGTGTCAGCTGTCAGGATGTGTTATGGCCTTCCTTGACCAGGTTGCTTTCTGTGAAAGCATGGGAGATTGTCTGCAACAGGTGACATTCCTTTGGCACACTGCATTGTTCTTATTGTTTTGGTGTCCTGCTCAAGAGGTTGGGTGACTTACCAAAATTGTAGGAGCTCATAGAAAAGGTTCTCTTATGTCCTGGTTTTTTGTTGTCGTTGACCTTGAAGGGTCAGAGCCAAAATATTGGCTGTCTTCTTAGCCCAGTTACCTTTCTAGTTCTGGTTTCTAAACTTTACTTGTTGAACACCCAGAAGAGATCAATAACAGCATTACAATGGGAGTAGTGAATTAACTATTATAATTTTACCTGGTTATCAAGCATTTTGGAATATAAAATATAGAGGACTGTTATTTTTATCAATCATAGTTGTTCTAGTAGTTTATATAGAATGTTAACCCAAAAAAGCTTTAAATCAAGAACCACACATAATATTTTAGCATGAAAATCATGATGATATTATCTTTATAACAATTAAATGTGCATTTTAGTGTAAAATAGCCATTGTTAGATGCACTCACTCCCTTCCAAAAACCCAAAACCATGTTACCTAAGTTGTTCTTTTCATAGGGTGTCATCTAAGGAAAATATATCAGTATATAAATGTACCTCTTATCATAAGTAGCTGGGGCATAAGAGAAAGGCAAATACCCAAATCAAAAGGTGGTTATTACCATAAAAATTATGTTGGAAGACCTGTACAGTCAGAAGGCATGAATACATTTTGTATATCAGGAAAGTAGTAATAATAAGTATCACAATTATATGAAATCTTATGCCCTTTAAGGTAGCTTGGTACCAAAGGTATCTTTTTAATAAAATCTTGTTGTTTTTCCCACAAAAAATTTAATCTTTTGTTTGTTTGTTTGTTTTTGTGGTACCAGGGATCGAACTTAGGACCTTGTACTTGCCAGGCAGGCATAGAGCCACTGAGCCAAATCTCTGGCCCAAAATTTAATCTTTTGAAGATGACTAATGTAAACATATCACAATAATATATTTAGAACTTAACCCTTTGATAATAACCCATGTAAACATTTTATAATAATATATTTAAGCAATGTTTATTGAGGTATGTCACATAAGGCTGTGAAAATTAGTGGTGGCTCCCAACAGTGACCAAAAACCAGAATAATTGTTTTTCTGTGCAGCTGCTCCTTTATTCACCAAGAGGGTCCCATTTAGTAGTCTCCCAAAACCTAAGGATCTCCATTTAATTACTGTGACAATTATTTTTTAATAACCTGTACAAACCAGATTGTAATACTTAATATATTATTTGTAAGCAATAAAAAATGTTTGAGTTATTGTATGTAGACAACAGTACACATTACATTTGTAAAATTAATCTTGAAATTTTGATCAGCTAGCAACATGGGGGGGGAAACGCTTGCCTTTAACTTTAATAGCATTTGTCTATAAGTCAAATTAAATATAGGGAAATATCTTTCTAAAAATATATTTTTTTAAAAAGAAAAAAATTGTTGAGCTTAAAGCAGCTGTACAATTGTACAGACAGGCAACACATAAGACAATTAATTTATAAAACTAGAGTGCACTCAAATATATTTGGCCAAATGGAATGATAATAGTGCATTATAATAATTATACATGAGACTATCCAAAAACTTTTTGTAGGTCAGTTAACAGAGATCTCATGTAATTAAAATCAGAAGGAATAAAAAACCCATCCAAGTAACTGGTCTAAGCAAGGGAGGATTTGGTATGCAAGCCCAATAATTTATCCCTGACAATAGGGATATACGTACTGTGCATGCTATGATAGCCATCATAGCAACAAACATAGTGTCAGCATGTCTCTCCCTGACATTCTGCCAGTGCCTTGGCCTTATAGATTGTTCTATCCAGACTCTTGTTCGTAATTGGTTTGGCCTCTATTATTGGTGGGAGTGGAGTTGATGCTAGTTGATCATTGAGACTCATCTGTACAAAAGTTTTCTTGGTGATGATTGGTAGGGTAGTTATACGATGCCACGATGGGGATTTCCATTTTCAATGGCCACACATTCCTGGATGGCAGCCACACTGGTGATCCATCTTCTCGTAACATGCAAGAATACTCTCATCCCCAGGTTATAAACGGTGAGGGGCCTTCCCATTTACCTGTCTGTGTATCTTTCCACAAGATCTGAGCACGTGGAAATTTAGAGTCAGACTCAGACTGCCAGTGCAGTTCAGCCATAGTGCAGTTCAGCCATAGTGCAGTTGTCTTCTGTCTGTGGATTTAAAAAATTTAAAGTAAAGATAGCAAAGTCTAGATGAGCCTGTGGAGGAAGCTGTATTTTCCCTTGTTTATTTAGTTGATTTTTGAGTGTTAGATTTCTATTGGATCTTTTTTTCTTTCTTGACATATTGTGGTTTGTATAGAGTCATTCTTCATGAATACAGATTTGTTTAAAATCTTTTATCTCCTTTTGGATACAGATTCAGTCTTGTGTTTGCAAACTCATGTTGGTGCACAGATCAGGGGCTCAAAACTTCACTGTGTGAGTGTTATGTAATCCCAAATCTTCCAGTGTAAATTAAAAAAGCTCCGTGTGTGATGGGAGTCAGCAGACAGCTTCGGCTTGGTAGTCTCGACCTCTGTGAGTGTCAGAGCCTTAACCCCGGGTCCTCTGCACCTGCCACCTCTGGTACCCACGAGACCTGGGCCAGGCTAGCATGGTGAGAACACCTCAAAGAATGATTTCTAAGAACAATGGAGATTAAGAGTAGCAAGTATTTATTGAAAGATAGTTTCTGTCTAAAAGAGACAGAAAGGAGACCAGAAAGTGGGTTGCTCCTTCTGATTTTTTTAAAGAGATGTCTCACTCTGTAGTTTAGGCTGGGCTTGAACTCACTGTATAGCTCAGGTTGGCCTCAAACTCACAGCAATCCTCCTGCCTCAGCTTCTCAAGTGCTAGGACTACAGGTGTGCACCACACATGGCTTCTTACTGTTTAATAAACATTTTTATGCCTATTTTGAAAAGTCTATTATTCTCTGCTTCTTAATTAGTATTTACAGCTGCCACAGCCTTAATCTGTCACTCTCCTGGCCCTACCACAGGGGAGTATTGTGAATGTCTCACCTCAGTTAGGGAATATCCTGTTTCTCATGTATATTTGTTAGCAACACTGGTCAAAAACACT